AATTTGAGTGAGTCTATAAAAGTTTTGATGTTGATCATGTTTAACCCACCATTAATGAAGTCTTGAATAACAACTTCTCTCTTTACTTTATCCACTTTACTGTTCCACAAGAACTCATAAATTATAGAATTCAGTTTACAAAGAAACTTTTCCTCTGGATTTGGCAGCGAGATAAATAAATGATTAAATTGTGAAACCAAAATTGATTTTATTATGTTTATTTTACCAATTGGTGTTAATATTCTCCTTTTCCATGATCTGATAAGTGATTTAAGTTTTGTTAGTTTTTTTTTAAAGTTCAGTTTAGGTATCTCATGTAAATTAACGTGAAATTCAATGCCAAGAAGTGTGAAGTTTTCCCTACCCCATTGTAAGTCGAGTTCTGGAAGGAATTTATCTGAGCTAAATTTTTTATTGCCAATCCAGACCACTTGAGTTTTTGAAATATTCATTTTCAATCCTGATATACTTGCATAGAAATTAAGTTCAGTAATAGCTTCCTGCAGTGATCTTTCTGTACCATCAAGTGCAAGTGCAGTGTCATCCGCATATTGTGATAGAAGTATAGGACAGTTATCAACATTAATACCCTTAATTTTATTATTGTTTCTTAGTTTTATAGCTAAAATTTCAGCACACAGAATAAATATATAAGGAGCAATCGGGTCCCCTTGACGACATCCCCTTTTAACTTGAAAAAATGAAGACAAATTCCCTCCCTGATTAATTACAGCACTAGCATTATTATGTAATGTTTTAACCCAGTTTATTATACTATTTCCAAAACCAAAAAAACATAATACTTTCTCAATAAATGCCCAGGACACCGAATCAAAAGCTTTTTCGAAATCAATCATTAGAAACATACCTGGAATATCATTTTCCTCTGCATATTGCATTACATCATATATCAGTCTAGTGTTTTCCCCTATATAACGACCCTCTAAAAACCCTGTCTGATCTTTATCAATTATTTTATCCAAAACTGTTTTAATTCTGTATGCTATTGTACTAGAAGCTATTTTATAAACAACATTTAGTAGTGTGATAGGCCTCCAATTTTTTATAAAATGTCGAGGTTTATCCCCCTTTGGAATGCATGAAATAATTCCTTGACGTTGTGAGATTGATAGATTTCCTTTTTTATAGCCTAAATTTATAGATCGAACAACAAAGTTACCTAAATATTTCCAAAAACACTTATAAAATTCAACCGTAAAGCCATCTATGCCTGGACTTTTATTATTTTTCATACGTCTTAACGTTTTGCCAGCTTCTTCCAATGAGATTAGGCCATCCAACTTTTCAGAATCATTTTTACTAATTTTAATCACATTATAATGTTCCAAAAATTCATTTAAATTTACATCTGCTATGTTATTATCAGAATCATACAGCTTTTCATAAAATTTCTGAACTTCTTTCAAGATGTCTGCCTGACTTGTAATTGTTTTTCCATTATCTAATTGTAATTTAGGTATAACTTTAGAGGTAAAATTTCTACTTTCCAGACTGAAAAAATAGCTTGTAGGCTTCTCCCCCTCTTCTATCCATTTAGCACGAGATCTCACTATACTACCTTTAATTTTATGTTCCCTAATTTCCTTTAATTCTTTTTTTTTTACTTCTAAATCAACAATATCTATTTCATCTTGTTCTTCAATTGCCTGAATTGTCTTCTTAAGATTGTCTTCCCTAACATTTTGTTGTTTTTTCCTAAAGGATGAATAAGATATACTTTTACCTCTAATTTGCAAAAGTAATGTTTCCAGAAATAATTGATCGTCTATCATAAACTCAATCACAGCATCTGAAATGTTATTTAAATTATTTAAATTATAAACTGGAGGACAGTATTGCGCTTTCGTCTCACTGATACAAGTTTTAACCATATTTAAGTACTCTAGTTCCTGTAATAGACTATTATTGAATTTCCATACTCCTTTACCAGGTATAAATTCATTAAGTTTCAAAGATATTGTAGGGAAAGAATGGTCAGATCTATAACCAAATTCTATTTTGGATTTTTCAGTACTAGAAATAAAGTTTTCAGATATTAAAAAAAAGTCTAAGCGAGCTTGTTTAAGTGGGCTACTTTTCCTCCATGTGTATCTTCTTAAGTCTTCATTTTGTTCTCTAAAAATATCTACTAGTGAAAAATTATCTATGATTTCCAAATTTTTTTCTCTAGCTTTAGGATTGTTTACATTTTTATAATTTTTATCATAATCTAATTTAGGATTTAAAACCAGGTTAAAATCACCACAAATGATAATATATCTATTTGCAAATTCTTCAATAGTTTCAAATAGAATATCATAAAAATCAGGTTCATCCTTATTTGGGCCATACAAATTAATAAGTGTAATTCTAAAAGTCTCAATTTCAATATCTAAGGCTAAAAAATTGCCCGTGTTTTCTTTTTTTTCTTTATGCACTTTAAATTCGAAGTTATTTTTAAAAAGAATAGCTACGCCTCTAGCATTTGATTTAAAAGAATTAAAGTAGCACTGAAAACCCCATTCACTTCTTATAATATTTTCCTGTTCTGTAGTAAAATGTGTATCTTGCAAGCAGAGAACATTACCACTTGTCGACCTAAGATAAGAAAACACATCTTTACGCTTAACTTTGTCTCCCAGGCCCTGATTATTAGCCGATAAAAACTGTATCTGAGCCATAGCTGTGACTTGAGAACGAGTTTATTTGATCCATCCCGGAAATAAATAGAGGAAAAGCAAAGACCGATAAAGAAATTAAAAGAAGAAGAAAAGAAAACATAAAAGACAATGATAAAGTGGTCATTTCATAGAGACTACTGCCGACAGCACACAGTCTTGAGTTATTTCTTGTTTATGATAATAAGAATACCTGAAATAGATAACCATGCCTGCAGATGGGGTTCGCCGAAGACAGGAAGTAATACCACACCGGAAGTAGTGTAGTAACTATCGGATGGGATAGACTGTTTTAAAATTCCGGAAACATAAGGGAAGAGAGGGGAAAAGAGGGGAAAATGGAAAGACATAAGAACCCTTTTTACAGCGAAATAATATGAGTATACGAAACAAATATCTAATGAAATAGTAGGAATATACATATCCAATAACTGATTGGATTGTAAGGAGCGGTATAGCTGAAGCTTTTAAACTTATCAGACAAAAAATCCGGAGACGTCAGTGTACTGTATATATTGTATAAGAGAATTTTTAAGATATATAAGCATGTCTATAGATATACATATGTATCAACATATACAGGTTTTTTTTTCGATATATATATATGAAAATAATAATTTTAATTAGTAGTCAATCAACAAGATAGATAAATGAAACTTGTATAGACTTACCGATGTATGAATAATAGATCCCATACACAAGATTAAGCAAAACACTCACTGTAAATTTTCCAAAAGAAATGACACATTCACAGATATACAAATTTACACACACTATCCAAACACTGTCGTTATATCGGTAAAACCAGGGTAATTCCTGGCGGCACCATCGTGCCTAGTCCATTACCGATCACTATGCAATAAATATACATTTACACAAAGTTGGAATCTTCCTTAAGGAAATTGTCTGTGAGTGGTGTGCCAAACTGGAGCCTTCTCTTTCTACCATCAGTCAGTATAGCGAAAAGCTTACCGTCCGTACTGTACGAGTTCTTCACACACTGAAGCTTATACGCGTCCTTGAGGATCTGCTGGTTGATCTTCGTGAGATCCTCAAACACCGTATATCCAGTTTTCTTCAATTTATAGCGGGCTTTGATGACCTCGTTCCTTTTTCGTCGATGTGTAAACTTGACGATGATGTTTCTCGGTCTTTCCCGGTTGAACTTCCCAAGAGGGTGAGCAATGTCAATGTCCCCCTTGGTGATATCCACCTCAAGTTTAGAAGACACAAAGTTCACAAATTTGTCCACACATTCCTCCACAGTCTCTGAATCAGATGTGTCCTTCAGTCCGTGTATTCTGAGTGAGTTCTTGCGGCCGTGTTGCTCCAAATCGTTATGACGTGCCTCTATAGCGTCCTTCGAACACTGGAGATCACCATATTGAGTCTCCAGGTTTCCAATAGTCAGCCGGAGATTCTCATTTTCCATTTCCAGTTCGAACACTCTCCCTTTGAGTTCTTCAACCAGTTCTCTATTTTCCTCTCGTATGGTTTCTTTCAACTTCTTCATCTTGGAATCAAAGTCTGCCTTTGTTATGAGCGTAGTTAACAAGGATGTAATCTCATCGAGTCTGTCCTCAATATTCTTATCCGCTCCCCTGGTCTTAACCCCGGCTGCTCCTCCCATACTGTGCTTTCTGTTGGCCATGGTTTCCACTGAGTATTAATACATATATATCAAGTCAACATATACAAGTCCATGTAGTTAGAATAGAGTGTGCTGTGAGCAGTAGTCACTAGGTAGGGTGTCAGGCCATTGTCCTAACTCAAAACGTCCAAAACACACATTTCCACCAAAAGTTCAAGAAAACAGATACTGATAAGGGATAAACTATCCACTTATGAGGTATGTAATCCAAAAATTATACTTCAAAACGTGTAATAATATATAAGAAAAACACTATTTTGTCGGAGCTCCAGACAAAGGACTACCCAGGCCCAGCGTGACCTTGACCTTTTTCACTAGTAGCGAACATGAAATAAATCAAATAACATCCTTAGCTTGCTCAGAAAAAAGTGAAAATATGATAAAAAATGGTTAAAGATCCTAGCTCTTTTGTAAAGATTTCTGTTTCAGATTCAATCTGAACTCTCACATTTAAAAATAAATAAATAAAAGATATGGTTAATAGAAGAAGGGCACAGTACTGACATATTGCTGATACATCTAGTCTATTCAACAAATTACTCTTACCATGTACAGCTTTTCAAATACTGTAGGAAAGATTATTTTAGTTAGCACATGTAAAAGCAAATGTTCTATGAATAATGAAGGCCCTCTCTGAGCATTTCGTTGACTTTATCTAACTTACTTTTCAGATGCAATGGAGTATATGTCATATTTTGCATTCTTGGACTAGGATCTCTGTTGCCATGGAATTTCTTCATTACTGCCAAAGAGGTAAGTACATGTTTATATATTTGATTCACATCATATCCAGTCTACTCTGATGATAAGAAAAATCCAAATTCTTTCTTTCAAATGAATCAGAATTCTGCAGAACTTTACTGTTAAGTTTTGAAATGCAGTTGCCAGATTTATATTCTTTTATGAAATTAATATATCTTGAAATGTCTTGTAAATTTTAAATTAAGATACAATTGTATCACAAAACTGACTTGAACAACATGTTTGTGTTTATATAATGGGTTAAATATATATGATATTTTCTTTGACCAGTACTACCTGTTTAAGCTGAGGAACTTAACATTGCCAACAGATGACATTGACAATCCTCAGATGCAGACAGAGATGCAGACCATGTTTGAAGGATCGGTGGCAGCTGCTGCAACTTTGCCAAATCTTATCTTTAACTTTCTAACTGCTGTATTTACGCAAAAGTAAGTTTCACAAGTTGTATAAATAAAAAATTACTTGTCTGTCTGTTTTTAATTTGCAAACTTTATTATGCATATAACTATTTTTTCTGGGATATAAAAACATTTTAGCACTCTACACATATCTATAAATTCTTATCATAACCTGTACATAACCATCGATTGTTTTCTTGCATAACCAGCAAAACGCATGTTCAACGCACATTCAACGCTAAAGTTTAAACGCACATCACACGGTCAATGCAACGGAAACGCAATGCAACGGAAACAAAACACAAACACAACGCAAACGCAACACCCTTTTGGTAAAGAAAAACCGTCCAGGGTCTGTATGTGATAAGATTTTTTTTCCATGGTTTTATTATCCAGGTGAGCAATACAGGCCCTTTGGGCCTCTTGTTTACAACCCAGGTTCAGGTATCCCCTTGTCAAGCATACACCCAATGCTTAAATAAAAGCTTGGTCACAAGCACCACTGTAATAGGACAAATAGGGCCTAGGACACAATCCCTATGTGTGTCACACGCTAAGGTGCCCAATTCAGACATTGCCTATAGGCTAATAAACATCAACCCATGTTCAATGGATATAATTCTGTCATTGTTTTGATATATATAGAAGACGACACCAATCGATAGTTCCTAATATTTATTAACACAAGGAATGATGATGAATGTATGTACAAATGATAGGACAACACGGCTAAACAGAAATAACAACTCAAACTTGCGCCACACATATACACATTAATGACACATAACATTAACAGGCTAAACTATTGATAAACCACCCCCTCCCATTCTAAGACCTATAATCCCTGCTTACGCTTACTTCTAAATGTCCTGATGTGGCACTCTCCAGAAACTAACCCGTCTGATTGCCCGGATCTATTGTAAAACATCGTTTTTATACCCAGAGACGGCGATAGTTTCAAATCCAAATTGTATTATTGCCATCAAGCACGCCCAGAAGTACCGATCTCGGCATCCTACTTCTGATATGCTGACACAACGCGATGCATTGCGAAAATGACTTTTCAGGTCCCGACGCATCATCCCAGTAACAAAGAACATCCCTAGGGATGTTGACCCCAACTCTGCACCAGATTATAAGGACACTGTTGTGGCACTTACGTGTGTTCAAGCAACCCGACTGGTTCGGTTGCGACCCATCTTTCCTTTCTACCAATGAACACTAGTATGACAATGTTAATGCATGTTGAATATTTATTTATTTGTGCATGCAGAGGCTTTCAAAAATTAAAGAGTGTTAAGTTAATTTGCTTCGAAATGGCCAATTTTGATTCGAATTGCGCAGATGGTTTGCATGTATTTCATTATGAAAATGTGGGTTTATGTCTCTTTGTAATGCCATATCTCCTAAAGCAGTTGTGGAATGAATATGAAATTTTATATTTGCGTACTTCATTTATTCCAGATTACAAATATAACTACTAATTCTAAATCCCCAATAGAACACTCCTTGTCCTTTATGGCATAAAGGACTTTTTAAAACATGCATCAAAATATTTTCTCCATGAAAAATGACATCAAATATGGACCAACTCGAAGAGATCATGCTTTAGTGTTACACTATTTAATAACAACATCAAAATAGATCTATAGGCAACTGCAGGTTGATGATTGAGAAAAAAATATACCTACTGTTACCAGGGCTCACGCTGTCGGTAGCCATTGGCTACTTTTATTTTTTATTGGCTACTAAAAGTTCGATGTGGCTACTAAATTGACTACTAAGTTTTTTTTAATTGGGCAACTCTGTATCTTTGTCCCAGAAAACGATCCGTCTACTCACGCTCACGTGTGTATTGTGGCTGACACTGATTGCGTAAACATAATCAGGGCCGGCCGTCACATATCAGCGCGCGCTGTACGACTGCGAGTTAATTAATGCTTTTGTCTTAGTTGTAAAGTCAATTATCAAGCTTCAGGTGGCAAAAAGGTGTTATAATTCTTGTACAATAATGGACATTCGGGTCAAGTTAATTGGATGACCCATTGACGTTGAGAAAACAGTCTGATAAGCGAGTCACACATAGGTGGTCTCGCACACGTACATTTGACGGCGCCTTAAGTCGATCTGATAAACTTTAATTTATAGGTTCAGTATATTTAAATTAGTGTACATGGTATTCATTTACCTTTTCCAGTACTGTAGAAAGCATAAATACGTCCGATATGCTTGATTAGAAAGTATAAGTATCGCTTTAAAACACCATGTCGAAGTGCCGATTTTCGTCTTTTCTGATCACTTCAAACGATAGGCCCTATATCGTATCTGACCGTTGTACCTTCGTGGTTAGACGTTTTGGAATTTCAAGTAATCGAGAAAAGTTATTTAGCATCGCAGTTACGCGGTTTTTAGAACAGTAAACCGTTCAGAATTACTTCGACAGTCGCTTGTATTAGGTACCAATCGACGACACGTGCACGGGAATGGCCAAGTTGCACGAAGTGATGTGCTCCCAATTTATTTCGAAGGGTTGGTCAATACCGTTATAAATACGTCCTTTTCCTTTCAAATGTTTTCTACTGCCATTTACATTTGAAATGTGTGATCTTTTTAAATATATTTATACATTTTTTAGGTCACCTGAGCTTTAGCTCAAGTGACCTATTGCTATCCGTCTTCGTCCGTCGTGGTCCGTCGTCCGTCCTCTGTTAACATTTTACATTTTCAACTTAAGCTGAAATACTAGCAAAGGGATTTCATTAATTTTTCATGGGAAGGTTACTAACATCTTCCTGACCGACTGTTGTTATTTTTCGGGTCGATCAGAAATCCAATATGGCTGCCACGGCCGCCATTACTATTTCAAACTTAAAGTCAAGTTCTAATGGGCGATTGAAATGAAACCTGATAGGAATGATCAACTCATGGTCCTGACAAAGTGTTGTTATTTGTCGGGTCGATCAGAAATCCAATATGACCGACACGGCCGCCATTTTGAAAAACTATTTCAAACTTAAAAACAAGTTCTAATAGGCCGATTTAACTGAAAATCGGTCTAGGAATGATCAGCTCATGGTCCTGACAAAGTTAAGTTAACATAATACTTAACTATTTTGTACTCAAATTGGTACATATTTCAACAACAAAAATAAATACTGTAGGACTCAGGTGACCGTTGAGGCCCATGGGCCTCTTGTTTACATAAAACATGAATTACGGAAAAATAATTATCAATATTGCATCACTTAGGTTACTTTTTAGGTCACCTGAGCTTTAGCTCACACTAGGAGATACCTTTCTCTTATTCTACTCATTTTGCTCGTAATCATTTCAACTTTTAAATGATATTAGCACATGTTTTAAAAGATTAACACATGTTTTAAAAGATTAACACATGTGTTATAAGATTAAATCATGTATTATAAGATTAGGGGTGGTAAGTGATTATTACGAGTGGTTAAAACTTATTAAGAGTAGTTTTGTTATATTAGGAGAAGTTGTGATTACCTGTTGGCACAGAGCCAAATTTCAGCCAGCAGCAAATGTCGACCGCCCGCGGGTACGTTTCACGCTGCGACGGTCGCACGGTCGCGTGGCCCGACTGGTTTTCATTTATCTGTGCTAGTCGCGAGCCCAACAAAACAATACCATGTTACATGTGAGGCAAAAATCAGTTCTTCGGACCTTGTAACTTATTTTGAATAAACTTGTGAAATTTCACACTGTTGTTGTTGAAAGTAAAGTTACGCGTCCGGTGATTTTGGTACTCAGTCGAGAAATTGTAATCCCTGTCGCCCATAGACGTTGGATGGCCGCAGAAAAAACGCCGGCTATATCGGTGACGGTACTACAGAAAAGTAATAACGCCAGCAAATGTTACTTTGTGTAATCCCGGGAAAAAAGACGTCTTGTAGTGGATATAAACGAGTCCCACAAGATCTATTCTTAATTCACCAGTTGTGCTTAAAATAACGTAGCATTGCCTTGTAACGTGATAAAACATTTCATCTTTGTCCAATATCGGGGCAAAATTTACGATGTGCATGTGTCGGTCAATCATACGATTTCCCGTTTAAACAATCCAGATTATAATTGAAAAAGACCGTACGTTAACTTATACATCATTACAAGTTTCTCCGTGTGGTATACATTGTATAAAAAGTTATAAAAGTTTACTGATCAATATCAGTTTATAGAAAAATCTAGAGGCGGACTGTCTCTGCATTGTGAAATCACCCAGATGATTGGTTGATTTGAAACGTCAATCACACCTCAGCACAGTAGCCCTCGTGTTATAATGGGCGGAGCTTGCGCGATACAAGAATCATGCGATTATTTGATGTATCGTCGAGGTGCGGCACAAATTTTTCGCGGTTTTAAATGAAAACTTAAAAAGACGGTTGTATTAAACATTACAATTCTGCATTTTATATAAAGGATCAAGATGTTAACTCCTTCCTGTAGCATGGACTTATTCAGTGTGTATCAATCGGAGACAAAAAGTATTAGTATTACTGTGTGTAAACTATTGCAATTAGACAATTATATATTGCCGAACAAAATCAGAATTCAATATGAATATAATTCATAAGTTTTAATCCAACTACGTTTTGGAAGTTAACTGTAATGCATTTTTTTTAATCATGAGGCCTTTGACACTTAAATTCGTCTAATATGCCCGTATTCCTTCTCGAATGGTAATGTATACATTATATATCTACCTTAATTTTATATACATGTACAAGCACCGAATCAGCGTAAGACCAGCTTGGATTCCTACAAGACAAGTTTTTGTCATATTTTCGTCTTTTTAACAAATATGTGTTGTTACTAGGTATACTATATTTTGGAAAAAAAATCAATGGCAATAAGTCCATGCCGGTCGCTAGATTTGATCAACAGAATCTGTCGATGTCTTTATAAAACATCAAACTGGCGATGTAACCATTTTCATACGTTTGTATCTTAAAACTATGTATTAACAATACTGAATATCAATTCCAACGAATATAATTTCACACGAAAACGTT